TCCTTGGGAACTACATAATTTACATTTTTGTACCTTTGATCAACGTTTTTCGGCAAAAATCCACGCAGGAATGTGTTTTTAAGTAGTCATAACAAAAATACGGGTAAAGATTGCTCAAGGGGCGGAACAATATCGGTTTGTCCGATTTCATTGTTTGAACGAGTGCCTGATTTCACCACGATGCCACACATTTTCTTCTCATCTTCAGCCTAGACCCCGATGGTGTTAAAACCATGTACTGATCTATGGTTTTTGATTTATTCTGAAAACAGCTTGTCATGGGACTAAAAGTTGAAAAATCGTATCCTGGCTGTCGCTCGAACGGATTTTCAGCTAAAATTAAAAGTCCTATTTTGAGATCTAATCTCTCGAGCCTGTTATATAAATATGAGATGGGGTAAAGGAGAAGAAGCGTGAATCGTTGTGATATTCTGTGGATGGTGTAGAAATGGCAAGAAATAAAAATATGTCTTCAAGCGGTCCGTAACAAAAATATAAATTGTATGTGAGATGTCAGGAATTACTCACTGGTGGCTGAGCTGTGGCGTAGCAGTTAAAGTTAGCCGCTTCTCCGTCGCAGACACGGGTTCGATTTCCGTACCGGTAGTTATTTTGTATATTATGTGTCACGACGTGGTGCAACCAGGCGCTCATCAAGTTTTGGGCATGTAGAATTATTGGTACTGCCTTAAAGTTTGTTCGTTTGTCTTGCTTTTGATGAAGGAAATACCTATTTATGTTGAATGCAAGTCGAGATATTTGCGATTGAAGAAGGTGGGGTTGCTTGGTTTCAGAGGCAAAATTAGCTAGAAGATGGCTGTCAAACTTTGGTTATTTACATAGCCTGAGAGTCCGTGAAAACAAACAATATACATTTTTGTGCCTTTAATAAACGTATTTCAATAAAAAATCCACAGAGAAATGGGTTCTTTAATTGACCTAATAATAGTTGTTAAGTCTAAAAAGCTAAAATTTCGGTAAAAATGACCAAACCAGCGGAAAATAGCAGTTTCTTTACCTTGAATATTTTGACGAGCGCCTGATTTCACCACGTTGCCTGACATATTGTTATCATTGTCCTCCTCATCCTGGTTTGGGACTGACAGGCATTGTTGCGAAGCCGACCACCTCCTACTATAATATTATTTTGATCCTAATAGTGCTGCTAGGGTCGTATAACTCGTATAAAATTAAAATTAGGAAATGATTCTAGCGTTTCGGTGAAAGGTTTGGGTGTGTGTCTACCTCTTATTATGTCTTTATCTTAGAGGTCAAGATGTCGGACTTAAAACGTAATGTTCTCTTTTTGCACAGCTTTACAGAGGGTTTTTTCTCCCAAAGAATAAGTTTGCTCGCCCTTGGGGGACCAGGTGGATTATAATTCACATACAGCCTCCCACGGGAGTTGCTGCGCAGTCGTTAAAGCATCGACTAGGAAATGATACAAGAATACAAGGGCCACATAAACTTAAACTCCGCCATTCATTTTCAAGTGGAATGTCGCCAGTAAATCGCTTTCCTTTTATTTTTGCCTTTTTCAGAATGAAATCAGTCCACAGTTTCTACACAGACATTTCTCCCTTTCCTTAAGGGGCTAAATCTATACGATGGTTGACGGCATTTTCTTGTCAAGATCTGTGTATTAGATTCCAAAATCAACATTACACATTGATCTTCGAGGATAATTCATCATGGTAACAATACAGTATTGTATTGACTTTCATTCGATTCTTTGTGACGTCTTTGTCATTGTTCGAACAATGTCTAATGCGTGAACGTCACTCCCACGCATAAGATATCAACATTATTCTTGAAGGATAAAAAGAAAA